CTCAAGAACCACTGGGCCAGGAAAGCTGAAACTTATGTGGGAGCATCCTTGGTTAGTGTAGATATCTAAATTGTAAAAATCATGACCCCCAGGGGTAGGGCGGGGCCACAATAGGGAATCCAAGTTTTACATAGAAATATATAGAACAAATCTTTAAAAATCTTCTTCTCAAGAACCACTGGGCCAAGAGAGCTGAAACTTATGTGGGAGCATCCTTGGGTAGTGTAAATATTAAATTGTAAAAATCATGACCCCCGGGGGTAGGGCGGGGCCACAATAGGGAATCCAAGTTTTACATAGAAATATATAGAACAAATCTTTAAAAATCTTCTTCTCAAGAACCACTGGGTCAGGAGAGCTGAAACATATGTGGGAGCATCCTTTGGTAGTGTAAATATTAAATTGTTAAAATCATGACCCCGGGGGTAGGGCGGGGCCACAATAGGGTTTTACATAAAAATATATAGAACAAATCTTTAAAAATCTTCTTTTCAAGAACCACTGGGCCAGGAAAGCTGAAACTTATGTGGAAGCATCCTTGGGTTGTGTAGATATTAAATTGTAAAAATCATGACCCCCGGGGGTAGGGCGGGGCCACAATAGGGAATCCAAGTTTTACATAGAAATATATAGAAATCTTTAAAAATCTTCTTCTCAAGAACCACTGGGCCAGGAAAGCTGAAAATTATGTGGGAGCATCCTTGGGTAGTGTAGATATTAAATTGTCAAAATCATGACCCTCGGGCGTAGGGCGGGGCCACAATGGGGAATCCAAGTTTTACATAAAAATATATATAGAACAAATCTTTTAAAAAGATCTGCATCACCCAAGTTATTCAGGTGAGCGATGTGGCCCATGGGCCTCTTGTTGTCCGTTGTCGTCCGTCGTCCGTCGTGCGTTGTGCGTCGTGCGTTAACATTTAAACATTTTCAGCTTCTTCTCTGAGACCACTGAACCAATTTCAACCAAATTTGGCATATAGCATCTATGGGTGAAGGGGAACAAAAATTGTGAATTTCATGGTCCCCGCCCCCCTGGGGCCTGGGGGGTGGAGCAAAAACCACTAAAAATAGTGCAATCTTTAAAAATCTTCTTCTTTACTCCCCGACATCAAGCAATCAAACTGTTGGTATGATTGTAATCAACATTGAGTCCTCTACCAAAATTGTGAAATTCATGGCCCCAGGGTCAGGGGTTCTGGTGTTAGGGCGGGGCCCTATTGATTATATAGTGAAAATGCAGTAAGTCTGTAAAAATCTTCTTCTCTGCTCTTGGGTATTAAATAAACTTACTAAGTACATAGTTATGATGAGCAAGAGTCCCTCTTCCAGATTTGTGAATTTTATGGCCCCAGGGTCAGGGGTTCTGGTGTTAGGGCGAGGCTCTATATTGATTATATAATGAAAATGCATTAAATCTTTGAAAATCTTCTTCTCTGCTCCTAGGTATTAAATAAACTAATTCAGTAAATAATTATGATGAATGAGCGAGAGTGCCTCTACCAAAATTGTGAAATTCATGGCCCCAGGGTCAGGGGTTCTGGTGTTAGGGCGGGGCTCTATATTGATTATATAATGAAAATGCATTAAATCTTTGAAAATCTTCTTCTCTGCTCCTAGGTATTAAATAAACTAATTCAGTAAATAATTATGATGAATGAGCGAGAGTGCCTCTACCAAAATTGTGAAATTCATGGCCCCAGGGTCAGGGGTTCTGGTGTTAGGGCGGGGCTCTATATTGATTATATAATGAAAATGCATTAAATCTTTGAAAATCTTCTTCTCTGCTCCTAGGTATTAAATAAACTAATTCAGTAAATAATTATGATGAATGAGCAAGAGTGCCTCTACCAAAATTGTGAAATTCATGGCCCCAGGGTCAGGGGTTCTGGTGTTAGGGCGGGGCTCTATATTGATTATACATGTATAATGAAAATGCATTAAATCTTTGAAAATCTTCTTCTCTTCTCCTAGGTTATTAAATACACTAATTCAGTAAATAATTATGATGAGCAAGAGTGCCTCTACCAAAATTGTGAAATTCATGGCCCCAGGGTCAGGGGTTCTGGTGTTAGGGCGGGGCTCTATATTGATTATATAATAAAAATGCATTAAATCTTTGAAAATCTTCTCTGCTCCTAGGTTTTAAATAAACTAACTAAGTACATAGTTATAATGAGCAAGAGTGCCTCTACAAAAATTGTGAATTTTATGGCCCCAGGGTCAGGGGTTCTGGTGTTAGGGTGGGGCTCTATTGATTATATAGTGAAAATGCATTAAATCTTTGAAAATCTTCTTCTCTGCTCCTAGGTTTTAAATAAGCTTACTAAGTGCATAGTTATGATGAGCAAGAGTGCCTCTTCCAAAATTGTGAATGCCTTAGCATCTAGCTTAAAACGTGAAACAAATTCAATCATTTGAAAGTTGTTGCATGATGCTCAGGTGACCTATAAGGCCCATGGGCCTCTTGTTTAATTGCTGAATTGTAATATGTTTTAAGGGTATAGCTGACTGTGCAAAACCCAAGGTCATCCCAAAACCAGATATATATCAGCCTATGGTACAGCAAGTAACAGACCTAAAACCATACACCCACTACATTGTTAAAGTGGCAGCAGTGAATGGAGAAGGTGAAGGACGCTTTGATAATGCAACAGCAAAGACTGAGGAAGAAAGTAAGCAATCACATGGATGGTTTAACACTTCATAAATTGTATGCATTTTTAGAGTTGCAAAACAAGACCTATAGACTTTTCTAAGATGATGACTCACAAGAAATTTAATCTTTTGGTGGTGTCAAATTAATCACCTTATTACCCTAAAGTTTTTTCGTAGCATAAAACTTTTTCCCCTCATTGTGAAAAATGTCTTGTTAATTGGAACAATTATTATTTAATTCTTTTATTATTCAGCTCCACAAAAACCTGGAAATATAAAAGCAACTAATATAGAGGCCAAGACTCTGACATTGTCCTGGGATGTAGCAGGTCCCCCACCTGGCAACACAACATACACTTTAGAAGTGTATGAAGGGACGGATGATACTGGAACAAACTTTACCCCGAAACAACCAAATCTGTATGCATACGGTGTGTATTCTTTTCACTAGAGTATATCAAGAAACAATTATTGTTCAATACACTAAGTTACCAGAATTTGCCAACTCAATTCACTAATGTTTATCAAAAAGAAAAAATACAAGGTATGCCAATGATCTTTTTCAGTAGATTGAACAAGATGTGTTTGTGAAAAAAGTATGCCCCATATGCTGGCCTTTAAGTAACCTTTAAAATTTAGGTGACAGTTGGTTCATAATCCTAAAGATCTAGTGGCTTATGCAAATTTTTAGGTGCCTGGCAAATTTTTAGTAGACACCAGATCTTTAAGCCAATAGAAGTCTTTAAACAAAGAGTGTGTCTTGTGCCCTGGTCAATTTTAAAAGCGGAATAGTGTAACAAGTCCACCACTTAGTTAGAATAGTTATATTCAAAAAGTGTAAATGGATCATTTTGTTTAATAGTTTAAAGTGCACTTTATTGCAGTATTATTTTTAGAAAAAGTTATCAAGGGAGCAAAATTCTGTTGTTTTGAATTTACTATCAACTCACGATGGAGGTGGAGGTTTAGTGATATACATTAGGATGGGTGGCTTGTCGCATATCTGCGGTGATTTTCTTTGATCTTTCTGTGGTGATATATCCCACATCACATATGCTATAATACTTTCAATGCCCCTTCATTTATCACAGCAGGAGGCAGAAATCAGGTCATGAGAAAAAAAACTGATTTTATTTCACAAGTTCATAACTACAGAAAAATGAACATGTTTAGCTATTTCTTAGCCTTTAACTAATTTAAAATGCGTGTATTTAACTCGGTTGGAAATTCCCAGTCATTAAAAAGATTAATCTATTTTGAAATTTTGAAAGTTACGGTAATATCTCCAAACGTTATATAAACTCCTTGATATTTGCATCTGTGATTTCATATTTGTCGAGTGCCTGGCTCGAAGATAATTTGTCAAAATCTTAAAACTCAGTAAAAAAGTCAAATCAAATTCACTAAGAACGTCCAACATGTTGAAGAGCTTGCTTGAAATGAATTTTAAGTTCATGACACGCTGAATATTTTTTTTATTGAATTTTGACACTCTCAATGAAATTTACGTCATCAGACATGAGACAAGTTGCTGACATCATAGATGTCTCGTACTATTGGTTATATCGTTTTCATACCCTCAATGTCCATGCCCCATGAAAACGATATAACCAATACTACTTGGCTTGTATGATGTAACCTATACTAGTTTGTCCTTGTGTGTTTAACAGAAGTTAATTTGCATCAGATCCATGTCAAATGCTACCTTGATTTATAGATATACTCTTTTGTTAGGCTATGCTCCACTATACAGGGCACTTGTTTGTTTGTAGATCTAAGGACAGATCACTTTAACTTCATTAACAATTAAACTGCAATTAGAACTCTTAACTGCAAAATATAGAGGGTCCTTTACTGGAAAAAATAAAGAATCTACTTTAACAATGTTTTACATCTTAATTTAGGTTTTCACCAGAAGTCATTGTCCATAACTGATCTGGAGGAATACTGGCCGTACAAGTTCAAAGTTATTGCTGCTACAGTTAAAGGGACTAGTGAATCAGATGTATCAGATATTGTCAGAACGAAGCAAGCAGGTTTGTCTTTCATTAATATAATACATAATTAGGACCCCGCTTGGCGGGCGCCCTATAGTGATCAGTCTGTCCGTCTGTCTAGCTGTCCGTCTGTCAGTCCATCCGAGATCTCTTGTCCAGAGCATATCTCCTCTCTACTTGGCCTAATCTGGCTCATACTACACCTATAGAGTGCCTTTGGGTAACCGGTGTGCAGTGACCTTGAACCATGTTTCTAGGTCAAAGGTCAAGGTCATAGCAGAATTTTATGAAAAATCCTTGTCCAGAACGAATCTTCTCTCCTTGGCCCAATCTGACTCATACTTCACCCACAGAGTGCCTTTGGGTAACAGGTATGCAGTGACCTTGAACCATGTTTCTAGGTCAAAGGTCATAGTAGAATTTTATAAAAAATTCTTGTCCAGAACATATCTTCTTACTCCTTGGCCCAATCTGGCTCCTACTTCATCCACAGAGTGCCTTTGGGTAACCGATGTACAGTGACCTTGAACCATGTTTGTAGGTCAAAGGTCAAGGTGATAGCAGAATTTTATGAAAAATTCTTGTCCGAAGCATATCTTCTCTCTTCTTGGCCCAATCTGGCTATTACTTCACTCACAGAGTTCCACTGGCCAATGGATGTGCAGAGACCTTGGTCGAAGTTTCTAGGTCATGGTCAGAATTAGCCTTTCTGTTTAAAATCTTTGTTTGGTTCATAATTTTTTCCCTTTAATTCCTGTATATTTATATAACTGGGGATACAAGATAACTGTGATAAATATCTGTAAATTCGCAATATTCGTGAAGTCATACTAAATGACTTTTACTGTGTTACACAAATGTTCCCCTTCAAAATAAACCCTTTTAAACCACCTTACATTTTCATGTTCATTGTTGAAAGCGGGGCCCTTTTAGATGGCCACCATCTCAATGATATTTAGTTCTTCTTTACTTTGGAAATAAATTCTTGGTTTAGACTAACAATTTATTTATAAGGTAAATAATATATAGAATGTGTTAGGGATTTATCTGACCTGATATAAAATGCAATGTTAGTGCTATACTTTCTTGGGCACTTGAGTCTTACCAGTTGACATGTATAATATCCCTAGGTAGAACAATTCAGATTTATTTCTCAGTTTCAAGTCTGTTCAGATCATGACCCCACAGTTTAGGGTTTGGCCACAGTAACTTTTTAGGGAATAAAAATTTAATCTAAAGACATTCCAAATTTATGCTGATTTAAGTTAATTTAAATTACTGAAGCATGAGGTAAGAGCAGACTTTCCTTCCTCTGAAGATTAATCATATATTATTGATATTAATTAGCATCCCATTGATTTTGGATATAATTTTGGTTATGTTCAAAGCTCTTTGAGGCTTCAATGTTGACATATATATTGTTGTTCTTTCTTCTTTTGGCATGTAGCACCAGGACCAGTGGAAAACTTGACTGTCAATATTAAAGAGGGGAACTACAGAGTGGCATATGCATATTGGAACATTCCATCACTGAGGGACCGGAATGGTGTCTTAGATAACTATAATGTCAAAGTCATTAATCAAGGGGTAATTAGTTTGACATACATGATTATTTAAGATAGCTTTTTTTAAATCACATGATTGTACTAAAGATGTTAGATTTTATCAAATTTAAGAAAATACCAGTTGTTAGACTTCTTTTTTTGACGAAGTATTGCATACAGGCTACATGTAACTCATTTGTCAACAATATTACTCCTAACATCTTTCTAGATGAAACTATCTTGCAGAACAATTGTATACATATAAGAGATGTGCATATTACATGGACTTTATTTTTTGATAAAATAGAGAAAAATACCAGTTGTTGAAGTAAGTCATTTTTAACTAAACATTGCATAAGATTCCCCAATTTCACTATCATTGTTAAAATTATAATGTGTGTCAGTAAAGGAGGAAAAAAGTATATCTGGACTGGGAATCATTGCTTTACCCACTAAGCTATCTACATGTATTACCCAAACCATTGCAAAGGTAAACAAAAGGGATGTAAACAAGTACCCCGTTAACCGGGTACTCGATCGAGCATCCGAGTATCAAATAATAAAATCTGTACTCAGTTACTCAAATATATATTTTTTGTATATTTTTAAGCTTATTTATTAATGCATTAAAACATTGGTTTTAAGATGTAAAATGTTCATTGCACTTTTACATACAGTAATTAAGGTTTCCTATGCCTCTAAATGACCGCTTTTGCCCGTGGCAGTGTTTATCAGGGGATGACAAATCCCATTGCCCGACGCCCGGGGCTAGTGAATTTTAGGAGTGGGCAAATGAAATTTTATCAACCACTTGCCCGTGGGCAAGTGACATATCAAAAATAGAATTTATTTGTAGGCCATAAATTTAAAGCTGGGCATAGGGGCTTGTATGATTTACTCAGCATTTGTCTTCCTCTTTTTTGAAAAATATCTGTAAACACAGAATTAGTTTATGGTAGGGCAAGCAAAAATTCAGGTAGGGCAAGTCAATTTTGACCATGTACTTGCCCTTGGACAAGTGCCTTAAAAATCTATTTGTCAGCCTCTGGTTTATACAGTAATTATTGTGGCCAAGCACCTGTTACCTGGATCGGAAAAACGTCCGAGGAATCGAATATCAAAAATTGACCGATTTGACATCCCTAGTAAACAATGAATGGATTTTAACTGAATTCTTTACCTTAGATTAAAGTATTTGACTTTCTTTAATTTTACAGACTCTGTATACATATAAGAGATGTGCATATTACTTGGACTTTAATTTTTGATAGAATAGAGAAAATATACCAGTTTTTGTAGTAAGTCATTGTAAAAAAAAAAAAATATATATTGCTAAAGATTACCTAATTTCACTTTTATTGTGAAAAAATATATAATGTGTACCAGTCAAGGAAGGAACATATGGCTGTACTAAGAATCGACCCCCATCACAAGTCCGTGCTTAAGTGATCAAGTTAGTTATCCATTACCCAAACCATTGCATAGGTAAACGATGAATCAAAAACTGAACTCTAAGATTAAAGTATTTGACATTTTTTTCTTTTACAGACAGAGATATTATCAGAAACAATACCAGTCTCCTCAATACAACGTGTTGAACAAAATTTTACAGTTGTACCAGAGGAAACATATACAGTAACAGTAAGTCTTAATCAAAAAATCTTAGAATTTGCTTAGAAATCATTTAGACTTCAATTTTTTTTAATAATATTGCCTATTCACATGTAGGGATTTCATGATGATATAGATTAAAGGCTGTTTTTATGCCCTTTCATGAATATTGCCTAGAATATACATAGACTAGTAGTAGTCATGTCCATCTTCCATCCCTTTGTCTGTCCTAGCCTGTTTTTAGCTTTTAACCAACTACAGTTTAAAAAAATATAACTGATTAATTGTCAAGATATTTTAAACTTCATATGCTTAATATTGAATGCACTATATTATTACCATATCTTGATGCATAATTAGTGAGAGGCATTCAACAGTATCTTTACTTTTTTGTCCTTATCTCTAATTTTCTTTCAATATTTCTTTTTTATTAATTAAGCCTTATATTTAAATACTAGTAAATGATATAGAGTTTTATCAAATAATATGATTGTTAAGTATATCATTATAAAATTATACTTTTCAACAATATGTTTCAAAGATAATAAAGACTGCATGGTTTCCTTGTTTTAAAGGTATCTGCCACAAATAATGAGAGTATGTCAGGTCAGGAAGCCCAACATCCCTACAGAGTACCTGCTGGCAGTGAGTATTCTTGTGCTTTAGCTCGTATTAAATTTTATTTTGATTTATGAAATTAGACAATTTCATTGTAAGCTTTGAATTGTTACTCACCTGAGCTGAATGCTCAAGTGTGCTCATTGGTCATATTTTGTCTGGCGTACTAGTCTTTTTTTCCATTTGTTAAATTTTTCACATCCTTGACTTCAGAACCATTAAGTTAAATTTCATCTAAACTTACCTCAAAGCATTCATGGTTTAACATAATGTTTGTACAAATAAAGGTCCTTGTGTTTTCTTCAATGGGGAGATAATTATGAATTTGTGAAAAATTAATGGCATCTTTTAGAATCAACTCTTATTTTTACAGATAATATGATACATTTTCATCTGTTTTATGACATAACTTCGTTTTATTCACTTTCACCTTAGAATAGTTCATAAAGCAGTAGAATGGAAACATTCTTGTTTTGCCCACTTCTAGGTCCTCCAATAGACTATAGTGTAGAATTGATAAGTACTAAACCAGGTCAACACAGATCTTCATGGCAAACCATCACAGTGGAACTTAACACTGATTTCTTCAAAAATGATTTAAACGGAAAACAAGTTTTATTTGGAATAACTGTGTGTGAAGAATCTAAATGTACCGGTAAGTAAAATCATCACAATCTTAATGAATTTAGATATTAATTAGATATATAATAATCAAATTTTATTTGAAATTTCTCAAATTTTAGATCAAGGATCATTAGATAGGAAAGAAGATTGGGAGGGGCTGCCAAACTGGCATGATGCCAGTAAAAATGGATTTCCGTTATACAGAGTCACAAACGATACATACATGAATGAAATCAACAGTGGAGGTACTTCTAGATCTCTTAACTATATAATTATATAAATATTTTGTTTTCTTGATTTTTTGTGCTAACACACTTGTTTCCATCTGTCACTATCTAAGTGGTGTGTCTATAAATTGCAAATATTTTAACACTTTAGTCTCATTTCTTAACATGGTGTTTCCAAATTTCAAGGTGTTAATAATGTTGCCAAATTTAATGAGGGAACACATGTTGCCAAATTTGATAAGGGGAAGATATATATTAAACTTAATTCTATTGTTTCACTCTTTTAGAGCCTGACACAGACACCAACTATATGCATATTCCACCAATTAGATATATAGAGGATATCTATATTGTGTGATTTGATATTGGCTTTATCCAACGAGTTGTTGAAATGGTGTATATATTCGCGAGGCTTGCCGAGCGAATATACACCATTTCAACGAGTTGGATAAAGCCAATATCAAATCACAAAATTATAGATGTTCTATTTATCTCATACGACTTTCATTTTAACAAAACTTTGAGACTTCCCCTGCGAAACTACATGAATGATTGCTAAATTTATATTGATGACGTACAACTTGATGAAGTAGCACCGTTGATGTTGACATCCCTCGAAAGAAAGTAGATCTTGTTCAAAATCTAGAATTTTTGCTATCTGCGTCTTTGAAAACATTATGTGACAATTGCTGGCACTTTACATCAAATGAACTTCTGACTGATAGTTGTAAGGACCATGGGATTTTGAAAATGGACTCTTTGAACGATGGCAGTACAAAACGTGTTAGGCAAGGCTAGGGGCCTACTTGTAGATTCATTGTTGATCCAATGTAAGTTACACCTATATTACTACGTAGGCATACGTAGTATAATATTGAAGATGTTTAAGGAATCTTATAACAACAACTTAACTGCTAGGCTTTACTTACTCCGATAACGATTTAAAAGGGGGGTGTTAACATCTGTCTTCAAGTGCCAATACAGGTTCCTTGATAAAATAAGACACTTCTTTGACATATACGAGTCTTTTTTCTGGCTTTTAACGAAATTATCGCTCTTTATCGTTCATTTTATTAGGGCAATAATTTTCACAAATAAAAGTTTGATAAAATAAAATTTTGAAGCGAGAGGGATCGTGTCAAAACCGGAAGTGCTATTGATAAAGCATCTACCCGTTGATAAAGCATAAGTTTATCCAACGACCTGTATCACCAACATGTATGAGATAAAAAAAAAATAATGGGTTAATTAAGGAATGAAGCTTAAAAAAATTTTGTTATACGATTTAAGATAACTTGGGGCAGTTTACGCTTTATAAACTGCGAGGCGCTTTTAAGAATCAAAGTACCAAAAGTACTGAAAAGCGGTTAGCATGCTTTCATCGAATATGTACAGTGTACAATAACAAAAAATGCATTGAATGATGATATTAAAGTAGGCATGCATAAAAATAGCTGGCTAGTTTGAGAAAAACGGATGGACAAGCAGAGAATTAATTAATTTCAGAGAGCTTCAGTTTCGTAGGCTCACTGCGGGTCAGCAGGTGTGACCTGTCATTGGGGATGCTTACTTCTGCTAGGCACCGGAACTTTCAAGGATCTGTTTTTCTTTTGAGACCGATCACTGTTCATTCTGTATTTTGATACAGATACTGAGTACATCTGTTTATTAATATTATGAACTATTTCTCTCACAGGAAGAAAGACAAGTAAACAAGATAATAAAGTTTTAAGAAATGTACATTATTGACTTTTCATACAATTAAATGTTCGAATAAGTAAATGGTATATGACAATTATTTAAAAAAAGAGTCTTGCACGATATGTATAAACGAACATATACTGAGTATTTGGCAAATATTTTTCATGAAATATTGTATAAAAAAAAATAAATAAATAAATGAAAAAAAAAAAAAAGGGTGAAAAGGAAAGTTGTTGTTTAATCCATCAATACTAGTATTTTAAAAATTCAAAGGTTCACTAAAAGTCAGTGTATAACAAACAATTTAATTGTTCATTGCAAGAATTACCTTGGTATCATTATCACTTTCTTCAATATGTCGCATAAGCAATACATTGTTTTTTGTTTTTTTTTTACTAAAAACAAGTATGCGAATTTCTATCAATATGTCTGTAAGCATCTGTATTTTAATTTTTATTTCTTCTCAAAGGCTCAAAATGATAATTAACAAATTGGACAAATTCAAATTTAAAAAGTATTTTTACAACTTATACCTTGCATAGGAATTTAGCAAACTTTCAAAAATAATCATTCATTAGATATAATTTTCAATTTGTGCTTATCGTCAAGATTTTTCATGCCTCTTTTTCTGTGCATATTTTATATCGGCTGATTTTTAGAAAAGGATCGAATGCCGATTAAATTTTTTTCTCCAATTTTTTAAAATTAATTTTAATATTTTCAGGCTCCCATTATTTTTTTTTTAATAGAAAATGTGATCGTTTAAACTCGTTTGTAATAATTAGACTGAGTACAGAATTTATCCCTGGAAACCAAGCTTTTATCATCTTTTAAATAATTTCAATTGAGAAAAAAAGGAGAAGAAAACAAACGTTTCATTATGGAAGTAATCCCATAACTGTACAACTTACAGATGTATTCAGTATTTTTATATAAAGGCTTTCTTCGTGTACTAGTATTACTTAAGTTAATTAAAGGGATGCCTTAATATTTTGGAAAATGAAACTCGATCGAGAGATTCTCTGATGTTTTGCAGTCGGTAATAACCTTCAACCCCTTTAGCC